AGGGAGAGGGAGAGATAGATAAATAAAAACATCAATGATGAGAAAGAATCATTGATCGGCTGCTTCCTGCACACCCAACACTGGGGATGGAGCCCACAACCTAGGCTTGTGCCCTGACCGGGGATCAAACTGTGACCTCCTGGTTCATAAGTTGATGCTCAACCACTGAGCCACGTCAGCCGGGCTAGTCTCACAGCTCTTACCTCTACTCTCCACCAACCTCTTTCTTCATGTCTTTCCTTCTATTTCTCAGAGAAAACAAAACAAAGAAGAGAACACCAGCTTCTTCCCACACACCTTCCTTCCCACCTCTCCATAATTACAATTACAAATGTTTCCCTCCTCACGTCCCTATTTCCTCATGTACTCAGTCAAGAACCACCAGTACATTTATTACCTACTCCCTCCTTTCCTTCCCTTTTACTCATTCTTTCCATCTTTAACCACACTTGAGTCTCCAACTTTAAAAAAATAACCAACAAACCCTCTCTTAACCTCACAGGCTTCTTTCCAGCTACCACCTCTCTCCAGCCTCTCCTTCAGAGTCAGGTTTCTTTAAAAAAATTTCTCGCCGAAACCGGTTTGGCTCAGTGGATAGAGTGTCGGCCGGCGGACTGAAGGGTCCCAGGTTCGATTCCTGTCAAGGGCATGTACCTTGGTTGTGGGCACATCCCTAGTGGGAGATGTGCCAGAGGCAGCTGATCGATGTTTCTCTCTCATCGATGTTTCTGACTCTCTATCTCTCTCCCTTCCTCTCTGTAAAAAATTAATAAAATATATTAAAAAAAATTTCTTGAAGGATTCTGAAAAAATGGCAGTAGCACAGTTTTTGATCTCTTCAAATCTCCACATGAAATGAGAACTTCTAGACAGCAAAATCAAAACCCTTCTAATAACACCAAAAACAACAACAACTAGTATCCTAAAATAAATGCACATAACAAAGTACACACACACAAAAATAACAAAGCACCAACAGTCACAAGACCTGCATCAAGCTGTTTGTCAGTGCAGAGAAAGCAGAGAGAAGTAAGTGGATCTGAGAACAGGAGAACCCTGAAACAATCAACAAGTATTCAATGGAAAGCAAAACTGAGAACAATTGAAACTAGGAGGAATTGTACTGTCTCCGGTAGCATATAAGCATAAAGATTCTATGATAAGGAGGTCTAAGTGGGGCTAGAGCAGTCCAACCCCTCTGAAATCTTGAAATTGACCTGGCTACCAAGGTTCCTTGCTCAGATAGGGTCCCACACTGAAGAGAAATGGTTGAGAGGAGAATCATATTGAGCAGAAAAGGGATAAAAGAAATGAAGGAAAGAGAAGCTCCAAAACAAATTAGCAAAAATAAAACAAGTTAGCAGGAAAAAAAGCAGAAAATCTCAAAAAGCAAGCCACTATATATTTTTTAACACTACAGGAAACAACAACAAAAAGGGAGCTCTGTGAAGTTAGAAAAAGCTATTCTGAGCCACTTCTAAGAAACCAGAAAAACTAATTTTTCATAAAAGTCAACAGAAAAATATAATGGTTAAATCTCATATATAATTATTATGAGAAACAAAGTAGAATAGCATTCCTACAGACAATAAAAGCATGCCAGAAAGACATGCACATTTATCAAAATTATAATTTCT